TCCATGGGTGGAGATTAGATTTCTTTTTGTATCTTAGTGATTGAACCTTTTGAGAAAGTCTAAGGTCATCACACCTTAGAGCATAACAACTTTGAGGTCTTAGCAAACTTATGAGATGTGGCAGGACGTTCTTTTTATTCAATTTTTCTGGTTAAATCTTGAACTGAGATTTTTTTTCTCTCTCTGTGATTAAAGAGCCAAACTGCACAATGTTCTCACAGATAATAACAATAATAAATAGCAGCTAACATTTATTAATCACATACCCTATTTCTGCATTGTTCTAAGCACTTCTGTGTGAATGTGTTTGTTCTGCATGACAACTGAATGAGGTAGATACTATGATGCCAGTTTATGGTCAAGGAAACTGATGCACAGGGAAATTAAGTGATTTGCTCAAGATAATTTGCTGGTAGATGGTAGACCCAGGAAGTAAACCCAGAGTTTGGCTTCTAAACCCATGCTACCTAGAATCACAAACATTGCCTAGAATATTCTGGAGAAATAAGCAGAAATCAATACATCTACTAGTAATAGGAATTCGGCTGTTAAGTTCAGCCTTGTAGATCCCAGCGTCTGAATAGATCTTTAGCCTGATGTGATAGTTCTCTACTTTCTTCTCTCATTTTTGTCAACACTCTCTTTTACATCAAGGTGAAAGGAGAGAGGATAATACCAGTAGTGCTTCCACTGATTTGATTCAGGTGTGTCCTAGATAAGAGCCCATACAATTAGCAGGGAGGTGTCATGTATTTGTATCAAGGGGCACTGTGCCTAAACAACTTCCAGTTTGAGAATTGCAAATTCATACATTCCTGTATGTGTTGAAGGTGTTGCTCATCGTGGTGGGTTTTTATATCTGTCACTAACTTGTAGGGATCCCATAGGAGTAAGAGTATTGTCCTTCTTGGGCATTCTATGAAATTCCATGATCAATGCAAAGGTGAAATACCCATCAGTTCCATTATGAACAAAGTTCTGAATCTTAAAGACTGAGTGCCACACAGCCTACAAAGTGGTGGCTTAGATATGTTGATGATTTCTGGGGAAGTGAACACAGAAGTGGCAACTTCTTCCTGGGAGGGCCAGATGCCCATAAAGCCGTACAGTTCTTCAGTCTTAAGTCATTTATGAAGGGATATTATAAAACATCCGCGTGTCTGTTGATCTGTAGCTATTAATGAAGGGCGGAGCTATGTTTTCTGGAGAGTAGCAGGACAGTGCTAGAGCACCTGGGGATGCTGTCCATTGCTTAAAGAGGCAGAAATATCCTTATTCACCTACGCATACATTGCACTTGAATCATTAGATGCTTAAAAATATGGTCTCTGGGTGCCTGGATAGCTCAGTTGGTTGAGCATCCAACCTCAGCTCAGGTCATGATCTCATGGCTCACGAGTTCGAGCCCCACATTGGGCTCTGTGTTGTCAGCACGGAGCCTGCTTCAGATCCTCTGTCCCCCTCTTTCTGCCCCTCCCTTGCTCACACTCTCTCAAAAATAAATAAACATTAAAAAAAGAATACCTTCTTAAGAATAGAACATTTCTGGGGCGCCTGGGTGGCGCAGTTGGTTAAGCGTCCGACTTCAGCCAGGTCACCATCTCGCGGTCCGTGAGTTCGAGCCCCGCGTCGGGCTCTGGGCTGATGGCTCAGAGCCTGGAGCCTGTTTCCGATTCTGTATCTCCCTCTCTCTCTGCCCCTCCCCCGTTCATGCTCTGTCTCTCTCTGTCCCAAAAATAAATAAACGTTGAAAAAAAAAATTAAAAAAAAAAAAAAAAGAATAGAACATTTCCTTTCTTTCAGACTCTCCTCCTATCTCTTTCTCAGTGGATACCCCTTCCCTGTCCCCTCCCCCATACATATCAGCTGCTTTACTTGTGAATTCCAGGTTCTTAGAAAAACCTAAGTAATGTCTATATTGGACCTTTTTTTTTTCTGTATTTCTTCCATTTCAGGGAGACTCTGAATGTTCCATCCCTTGTGAATCACACAATGTACCTTTACTGCAAGAAGAAATTGGTTTTTTACTTCTATATTCAGAGACAATCTCTGAAGTGAATGCTTAGGTCTGAGGATTTAATGTGCTATTTTATAGGAATCTGAGAAGCTGGTATGGAACTGGAACTGAATGATACCTCAATTCTCTTCTATTAAAAAAAAAACTAATCTATAATTTTAAATCTCTAAAAAAGAGGGGCGACTGGGTGGCTCAGTCAGTTAAACGTCCGACATCAGCTCAGGTCATGATCTCGTGGTTCGTGAGTTCGAGCCCCACGTCAGGCTCTGTGCTGACAGCTCGGAGCCTAGAAGCCTGCTTTGGATTCTGTGTCTGTCTCTCTCTCTCTGCCCCTCCCCCACTCACTCTGTCTCTCTCTCAAAAGTAAATAAACGTTAAAAAAAAAAACCTTTAAATATCTAAAAAGACACTGTTCTTTTAACTTTATGGAGACTCACTTATCAGTAAAATACAGTCCTATTTCACATGGCTGTCTCTAAATATCGAAGGGCTGGCATGTGTCATTTTAGCTTCTATGCTCACCATAAAGAGGTTTTTAGAGGTAAAATTACAAACTTCTCTGCTTGGTGGCTGGTTCCTGCCCTTAGCTAAGGTTTAGTTAGAGGGGAACCTGGTAATAGTGCATATTTGTTTATTTATTCCACACACATGCACCCATGGGGTTTATATTTTCTTTCTTTTTTAAAAAATGTTTTATTGTTAAGTAATTTCTACACCAAACCTGAGGCTCAAATTCACAACCCCAAGTTGCATGCCCCACTGACTCACCCAGCCAGACACCTGGTTTTTGCATTTTTTAAAGGTTTTATTTTTAAGTAATCTCTATATCATGGTTATATATGGTTATATATATATATATATATATATTTCAGTAGGAGATGGAATATAAAGCACAAAGTATATTAAGTCATATTCCAGGAAGGGGTGAATACTACTGAGGACAAAATGAGGCAGGGAAAGGAGTTTGGGAAAATTTGGGTGAGGATTGTGATTCTAAAAATGGCACACCAGGGAATGCCTTCCTAGGTGAAGATTGACAAAAGACCTGAAGGAGTGAGGGAGTGAGCCAGGCAGATCCTGGATGCAAGGTTATTCCAGACCATGGGAGCAGCCAGCATAAAGTCCCTGAGGGGAGAGCATGCCCAGAGTGCTCACAGAGCAAGTGTAGTTGGCAGGGAGAATAGTAGCATATGAGGTCAAAACAAAACAACTGGAGTAGAATGGGGTAGGTCATAAGTTTCCCAAAGTTGATGTGACCACCTGGTTTCTATTCGAAACAAGATTGGTGAACCACTGGGAAGCTTCAAATGGGGGAGTGACATGCCTTGACTTGAGTTAGTTTGTTTGCTCATGTGTATATTTTTTCATCTGAGAGAGAGAGAGAGAGAGAGAGAGAGAGAGAGAGAGAGAGAGAATCTTAAGCAGGCTCCACGTCCAACGTGAAGCCAGATGTGGGGCTCCATCTCATGACCCTGGGATCATGACCTGAGCCAAAATCAAGAGTTGGATGCCAACTGACTGAGCCACCCAGGCACCCCTCTTTGTTTGCTTTTAAAAATGGGATCACCCTGGCTGTTGTGTGGAGAATAGACCCAAGAGGGAGCAAAGGCCGAAGTGGGGAGATTCCCTAGGACAGAACCTCAAGTGAGAGGCAATGATGGCATGTTACACCAGTGGTTCTCAGTCAGGGGTCATCTTTGCCTTCGGGGGACATATCTGGAGATGTGCTTTTTTTTTTTTTCTATGACAAGGGGTGGTGTTGGTGCTGTGCTACTGAAAGCTAGTGGGTCTAGGTCAGGATGCTGCCAAACATCCTAAAGCACATAAGACAGCCCCCCACATGAAGAATTCTCTGGCCCCAAATGTCAATAGTGTTGAGGTTGAGAACCCTGGGTGAGGTGTAATAGTGGAATCAATAGGCAGCGCTCAGGGGCGCCTAGGTGGCTCAGTTGGTTGGGTGTCTGACTTCAGCTCAGGTCACGATCTCGTGGTTAGTGAGTTCAAGCCGCACATCTGGCTCCCTGCTGCCAGTGCAGAGCCTGCTTTGGATCCTCTGTGCCCCCTCTCTCTGTCCCTCCCTGCTTGTGCTCTTTCAAAAATAAAGATACTTTTTTTTTTAATATTTAAAAAAATTTTTTTTGAGAGAGAGAAAGAGACAGAGCATAAGTGGGGGAGGGTCAGAGAGAGAGGGAGACACAGAATCCGAAGCAGGCTTCAGGCTCTGAGCTGTCAGCACAAAGCTCGGTGTAGGGCTCAAACCCACAAACCTTGAGATCATGACCTGAGCTGAAGTCGGACACTTAACCAACTGAGCCACCCAGGTGCCCCTCTCAAAAATAAATAAATAAAAATATACAAGGACTCCAAAGAGAAAATTATAAAACTTTATGCTTAGACCTAAAAAAACCTAAAAAAGGTGAGATATTATGTTCCTGGACGGGGATTATAGATTCATTCCAATACTAATCAAATCAGATTTTCTCTTTTAAACTTAAACTCGGAAAGCAGTTTTTTTTTTAAGTTTATTTTTTGGAGAGAGAGAAAGAGAAAGCCTGTGTGCATGAGCAGGGGAGAGGCAGAGAGAGGTGGGGGTGGGGCGGAGAGAATCCTAGGCAGGCTCCACGCTTAGTGCAGAGCCTGATGCAGAGCCTGATCTCACGATTAGGGTTGATGGTGGATGAGATTTGATAGAGGATGGATAGTGGTGCGATTTTTTTGTCATGTTAGTAAGATTAAGCCTGAGGATATAGAAATTCCTTGTGTGACTTCGGGTACTCAGAAGTGGAATGGGGCTAGTCCTAGTTTTATTGCTAGGGCGGTTGTTATTATGATTGATGCTATGGGGTTTAGGTCTTTTGATACGGTTCATTGTCCTGAATGCAGTAGGTTGATGATGATTCCTATCATTAGGATTATGGAGGCGGTTGCTTGTGTTAGGAAATATTTTGTGGCTGCTTCTATGGCTCGTGGGTTATATTTTTTTATGAGGATGGGAATAATGGCTAGTAGGTTTATTTCAAAGCCGATTCAGACTATAAGCCAATGGGAGGTTGTTATTACAATTATAGTTCCTGAGATAATGGTTAATATAATGATAATAAAAATAGGGAGTTTGATTAGTATGGGAAGGGTATAAACCAACATTTTCGGGGTATGGGCCCGATAGCTTATTTAGCTGACCTTACTTTAGAATGTGGTGTGATAATGGTAGCACAAAGATTTTTGGATTCTTAGGATTAGGTTCGATTCCTATAATTCTAGAAATAAGAGGGTTCAAACCTCTATGTTTTACTCTATCAAAGTAACTCTTTTGTCAGACATATTTCTTATGTTTGAGGTGGGATGCTTGCTGTAATAATAGGCAGGGATACGTGTCACATGCATAAGGCTAGGGTAAGAGGTAGGAAATTTTTTCATAAGAGGTGTATTAGTTGGTCATATCGGAATCGTGGGTAGGATGCTCGGATTCATAAGAAAGTGATTGTTGTTAAGAATAGGGTTTTTACTGTAAAGTTGACAGTGTATAGTTCTGGTATATAAGGGTTGTGGAATGCTCCGAAGAATAGAATTGTTGTGAGGATATTTATTATGATGATGTTAGCGTATTCCGCTAGGAAGAATAGGGCGAAGGGGCCTGCTGCATATTCTACATTGAATCCGGAGACGAGTTCTGATTCTCCTTCTGTTAGGTCGAATGGGGCCCGGTTGGTTTCTGCTAGTGTTGAGATAAACCATATCATGGCTAGGGGTCATGCAGGAATGATTAATCATATATATTCTTGGGTGGTGATTAGTGTAGCTAATGTGAAGGACCCATTTATTAGTAGTGCTGATAGGAGGATGATGGCTAGTGTGACTTCATATGAGATTGTTTGGGCTACGGCTCGTAGGGCTCCGATTAGGGCGTATTTTGAATTTGAGGCCCACCCTGATCATAGGATAGAGTAGACAGCTAGGCTTGATATGGCTAGTATAAATAGTACTCCTAGGTTTATGTTAATGAGTGGGTATGGCATAGGTAATGGGATTCATATGGTTAGGGCTAGTGTGAGGGCTAGGATTGGTGCTATAATGAATATGAATATAGAGGATGTGAGGGGTCGGAGGGGTTCTTTAGTGAAGAGTTTTACGGCGTCTGCGATGGGTTGGAGTAGGCCGTATGGTCCTATGACATTTGGTCCTTTGCGGAGTTGCATGTAACCTAGTACTTTTCGTTCAACTAAGGTTAGGAAGGCTACAGCGAGGAGAATGGGAATAATTAGTGAGAGGATATTGATTATGAACATGTTGTTAAGGAGAGGAATTGAACCTCTGATAATAAAAGCTTAAGTTTTATGCAGTTACCGGGCTCTGCCACCCTAACAAACCCGAGCCCTCGGGTAGTGTAATTAGATAAACTGTCTAGATTAAGATTATATCATCTATTTGGTTGAAGGCGCTTTGGTAAAGTGGGCCTTATTTCTCTTGTCCTTTCGTACTGGGAGAAATTATTTAATAGATAGAAACCGACCTGGATTACTCCGGTCTGAACTAAGATCACGTAGGACTTTAATCGTTGAACAAACGAACCTTTGATAGCTGCTGCACCATCGGGATGTCCTGATCCAACATCGAGGTCGTAAACCCTATTGTCGATATGGACTCTGAAATAGGATTGCGCTGTTATCCCTAGGGTAACTTGTTCCGTTGATCAAGTTTTTGGATCAATAAGTGATGTAATACTTTTGACTGGTTAGTCTAGATTTAAATCACTCGGAGGTTGTTTTGTTCTCCGAGGTCACCCCAACCTAAATTGTCGGCCCATATAGAGATTTGTTGTTCCTGTCGGTTAATTAATGGGGTCTCTTTGGGTCGGTTAATTAAAGCTCCATAGGGTCTTCTCGTTTTATTGTTTTATTCCCGCCTCTTCACGGGAAGGTCAATTTCACGGATTGGAAGTAAGAGACAGTAAAGCCCTTGTGTGGCCATTCATACAAGTCCCTATTTAGGGAACAAATGATTATGCTACCTTTGCACGGTCAGGATACCACGGCCATTTAACTAGTGTCACCGGGCAGGCAGTGCCTCTAATACTGGAAATGCTAGAGGTGATGTTTTTGGTAAACAGGCGGGGCTTGTGTTTGCCGAGTTCCTTTTACTTCTTTTAATCCTTCCCTAATTTGCATGCCTGTGTTGGGTTAACAGTTAGTTTGATATTTTGTTTATGGTTAGGTTATACATATCTTGTTGTTAACTATCAGTGGTTATCCGTTCTGATATAAGCTTATGCAGGGAGAAATATTTCTTGTTACTCATATTAGCATTATTGCTTCTATTATTAAATAGATTGGCCCAGTTTTAAATTAGGAGTTGGTTGCATTTTTTTGACATTAAGATGTTTTGATTGTTGAGCTTGAACGCTTTCTTAATTGATGGCTGCTTTTAGGCCAACTATGGTTTGTATTTATGCTTACTCTCTAATAAAGGCTGTATCCTAATTCTAAAAAGCTGTACCTTTTTAGATTATATTTTAAATTTACATTAAAATTTTAGGGGTTTCTGAGGTAAGTTTAAAGTTGAACTAAGATTCTGTTCTGGGCAACCAGCTATCACCAGGATCGTTAGGCTTTTCACCTCTACCCATAAATCTTCTCACTATTTTGCAACATAGACGAGTTCATCCTGTAATAGATTGTTCATGGGTAGCTCGTCTGGTTTCGGGGGACCTAGCTGAAGTTCTCTTTGTTAGGTTGTTCTAGCTAACTCATTATGCAAAAGGTACAAGGGGTAATCTTTGCTGTGTGGTGCTTTTAATTTTATCTTTCATTTTTCCCTTGTGGTACTTTCTCTATAGCGCCAAGTTAAATTTCTATCTCCTATACTTTTTGAAGTAACTGAATGTTTTGTTTTATTTTCTAGTGTTAGTTGGGTTTATGGATGTTTGGGCTAGCCTTGGCTCAAGATGGTCAGTTTAATATGAAATCTTCTGGGTGTAAGCCAGATGCTTTGTTTAAGCTACATCTTGTTATCCAAGCACACTTTCCAGTATGCTTACCTTGTTACGACTTGTCTCCTCTTGTGGGTATGGTGGTTTGAACAGGTTTCTTTAGGGGTTATCACTTGAGGAGGGTGACGGGCGGTGTGTGCGTGCTTCATGGCCCGATTCAATTGAGCTCTCTATTCTCAAATTTACTACTAAATCCTCCTTTAATACTTAGTTTCATAAGGATTTTCGTGGGTGTTATAGTTGTAGAAAATGTAGCCCATTGCTTCCCATCTCATGGGCTACACCTTGACCTGACTTTTTTGTGTTAAGATACTTGTGCTTACTTTTCTTCCTTTTTACGGTTTGCTGAAGATGGCAGTATATAGGCTGAATTAGCAAGAGATGGTGAGGTATATCGGGGTTTATCGATTATAGAACAGGCTCCTCTAGAGGGATGTAAAGCACCGCCAAGTCCGTTGAGTTTTAAGCTGTTGCTAGTAGTTCTCTGGTGGATAGTTTTGTTTAAACTGTCTAAGTTTAGGGCTAAGCATAGTGGGGTATCTAATCCCAGTTTGGGTCTTAGCTATCGTGTAGTCGGAGATATTAAAGTTACTTTCGTGCTGTATTTTTATGTTAACTGTAGCTTTTTACGGCCTAGTTAAGGTTTAACTTTAGTATATTTTTCTCTGTAACACGCTTTACGCCGTGGGTCTATTAGTTTGGGTTAATCGTATGACCGCGGTGGCTGGCACGAAATTTACCAGCCCTTGTTTAATATAGCTTAGTCGAACTTTCATTCATAGCTTAATTTTATCACTGCTGTATCCCGTGGGGGTGTGGCTGAGCAAGGTGTCATGAGCTACTATGGTTGTGTGCTTCATACCAGCTCCTTTAGGTCACTGGGTGACTTAGAGGGCATTTTCACCGGGATGCGGAGGCTTGCATGTGTAATCTTATTAATAACTAATGGAAAGGCCAGGACCAAACCTTTATGTTTATGGAGTCTGGCGACTCATCTAAGCATTTTCAGTGCCTTGCTTTATATATTTAAGCTACATTAACTGGAATGTAGGGTTAATTTGGGTATTTAAGATATTGCTCGATAGGGACGAATTAGAGATCGGGTTAGCGTATCTATAGATAACTGCGAACAGAGTTATGATTTAGTATTAATAGTTAGCAATGATAGGGGATTGGTAAAGCTTATAAGCGTTTTCTTAGGCCTTATGTTTAGGTATGGTCTAGTCTTGTTTTTGGGGTTTGGCAAGACAGAAATAGACACGTATTATTATAAATAAGGTTAACGGGGGGTAAGGGGGGTTTGATTAAGCTAGTTATTTACTAAATCAAAGTGTTTGCATGTGTATACGTGTATACGTGTACGTGTGTACGTGTACGTGTATGCGTACGTGTGTACGTGTACGTGTGTACGTGTATGTGTACGTGTGTACGTGTACATGTATGCATACGTGTGTACGTGTACGTGTGTACACATATACGTGGGTGCGCGCATGCCATGTCCTGTGGAACATTAGGGATTTAAGTATATGTCCTGTGACCATTGACTTAATAGCACCTTGACTGTTGTGCGTGTGGAGACTCCGCATAGAGAATAAGCCCAGCTACAATATATTTGACTGAGTCAGGACCTTTAGGTCATAGCTGAGTCATAGCAAGTTCGCCCCCCTAAAATTAAAAAATACCAAATGCATGACACCACAGTTATGTGTGATCATGGGCTGATTAGTCATTAGTCCATCGAGATGTCCCATTTGAGAGGGTTGAAGGATTGGATTCAAGGATTTTATGGCCCTGAAGTAAGAACCAGATGCCAGGTATAGTTCCGTTATAGAAACCCCCACGTTGAGATGGGCCCAGAGCGAGAAGAGGTACACGTTCGAGCAAGGGTTGCTGGTTTCTCGAGGCCAGGTGATTAAGCTCTTTCGGATAGTTGAGGTCCATAAAGGACTGTCCTAGAATAAAGTGTATGCACGATTAAGCACTACTATGTCTTATGTAATATATATAAACTATTGTACATGCCTAATATTCATGGGGACT